TAACAGCACCTGGTATAAATTCGCCTTGAGCGAATCTAGATTTTCGCCGCAGTCCTTCTGAACGTCAAAAGGATGCGTTTGTTGTAAACAAGGCGAATTCATATTACAACAAACCCATCATTTTGACATAGAGAAAGACCGCGGCGAAAATCTAAATTCGCCAGTAAGTTAAGGTTTCCACCGGACAATATTGTCAAGACAATTATGTCAAAATGATGTGTTTGTTGTAATATGAATTCGCCGTGTTTACAACAAAGACATCATTTTGACATAATTGTCTTGACAATATTGTCCGGTGGAAACCTTAACTTACTGGCGAATTTAGATTTTCGCCGCGGTCTTTCTCTATGTCAAAATGATGGGTTTGTTGTAATATGAATTCGCCGTGTTTACAACAAAGACATCATTTTGACATAATTCTCTTTACAATATTGTCTGGTGTAAACCCTAAGTAACACCACTGTTACATGCAGCGTTGCCAGGTTGACGCTTTTAACGTCATTTGGACGTTTTTGTATCCTGTTGACGTTTGGACGTTTTTTATGTAAAAAATTAGGTTTTTTAACTTCCCAATAATTTTTCTGTTACTAAATGTTGTAAGTATAACTGATTTTGAATTATTTTCTTAACTAATCTTTACAAAATTTTTGTTTTGCAGCAACTGCTTCAAAAGATATTTATTCTTTGGACACAGAGGACTTAAATATGATGCATACCAAGCGTACGCGCATTTTTTTGGATTCTTGGACTAAGGATCCCGTGTTCAAAAGGCTGGTTGTGTAAACACTTGAGGTTACGAGGCTTATTGTAATGTTTGCAATTGCACACTAAAAGCTAAATCAGGAAGAGCTGTTCTCTTGCAACACGCACGCTCGCAAAAGCATCAAAAAAGCTGTAGCAGCATTAAAAGTCAGAAAAAAGTAAGCGACTTTATATATTATAGATAGATAGATAGTTGGATGGGTATGGCACTGCGACCAGTAGGTCTATTGTGCCCCTAGCTCATCACAATACATCAACCAGCCCCAGAGTGTCTATAAATTTCATAATAGACCCCGGGGACAGTGAGTGTATGTGCTCCTCTCTTGGCCAGACATGCCATATGCTCCTATACCTCATACGTGCAACGGCATCACACTCCATAAGAAGGTGTAGAGGAGTCTCTTTGGCTGCATCGCAAAAGCGACACAGGTCGCTGGACCAGATACCTAATTTATACAGGTGCCCTCTGAGCCTACAGTGGCCCNATATGCTCCTATACCTCATACGTGCAACGGCATCACACTCCATAAGAAGGTGTAGAGGAG